CACAGAAAAGAGGAATGAGAAACACCCACAACAGATGGAAAAGTAGAGAATGGGTGAGGGATTTGCAAGAGACAGCAAAAGTGAAAAAATAAAAGGAGGAGAAAAGCAAGTGGAGAAATGTAGAGAAAAGTGAGATGTACAAAGAAATGAAGGACAGCAAGGCAGGGATGGGGCAGCAAAGAGGGAGGCTCATGAGAGTGAGAGAGACGAGGAGGGATTTGGAGCCGGGGCAGACAGAGCAGAGTGGTGCCGGTGACAAGAACAGAGGGAGCCACAGCGAAGAGGACACCTGGGAATGTGGGGTGCCAGAGAGTGGGGACGGGGGTATAACAGGGAAGAATTTAACAGGGAGGGTAGAGGAGGTTCAGAGATGGAAGAAGAAGCAGAAATATATGGAGATTAAGGACGATTGGGGAGAAGGAGCAATAAGAGGTTAAATAAGTTAGCCAGGCGCAGTGGCTCACGCCTATGATCCCAGCACTTTGGGAGGCCGAGGCGGGTGGATCACGAGGTCAAGAGATCGAGACCATCCTGGTCAGCATGGTGAAACCCTGTCTCTACTTAAAATACAAAAATTTGCTGGGCATGGTGGTGCGTGCCTATAATCCCAGCTACTCGGGAGGCTGAGGCAGGAGAATTGCTTGAACCCAGGAGGCGGAGGTTACGGTGAGCCAGGATCGCACCATTGCACTCCAGCCTGGGTAACAAGAGCGAAACTCTGTCTCAAAAGAAAAATAAATAAATAAATAAAAAATAAATAAATAGGTTGGGAGGATGGAGCAGAAGAGTTGGAAGAGGAGGAATAGAGGGAAGAAGGGGATAAACAGCAGGGGAGAAGAGGGGTACAAAGTGAGGAGCAGAATCCCAGGGAAAAAGGAAAGAAAATGAGCTAGAGAGAGAAGGGGAGAATGAGAGAGATGTACAGAATTAGGGAGGGAAGCACAGTAAGGAAGAAAGAGGGGCTGGGTGCAGTGGCTCTCGCCTGTAATCCCCGCACTTCAGGAGACTGAGGCAAGGGGATGCTTCAGTCCAGGAGTTTGAGACCAGCCTGGGCAACATAGTGGGACCCCATCTCTGAAAAAAAAAAATTAACCTTGTATGATGGTGCACACCTGTAATCCCAGCTACTCTGGAGTCCCAGGTAGGAGAATTAGTTGAGCTCAGGAGGTCCAGGCTGCAGTGAGCCAAGATCATGCATCCACAGAGTGAGATCCAGTCTCTCAGAAGGAAAAAAAGGATGGGGGGCTTTGGGTACAGATGAGTGGGTGAGTTCATTGGATTTGATTAGTTGTGACGTGTTGACTTCTGTGTATATAATCTACTTAAATACGTTTTAAGTTATTAAAAGTTATTGTTTTAGTTTTAGGAGATTGAGAATTTTAAGATTCCTATCTATAAGACATGTACCTTTTATAAATCTTGGCATCAGAGGTTAGCTTCCACTTGGAATCCCTATTCAACCAGAGGGCAGTGACTTATTCAGTTGTGAGTCACTCTCTTCCCTTTTCTCAGAGTGGGGTAGGAAGTGGGGCAGTGAAGTGGGAAAAGAATCACTTTCTGTTATTACATAATACTTTTAATTTAATTAATTAATTATTATTTGAGACACAGTCTGCTTCTGACTCCCAGGCTGGGTGCGGTGGCATCATCTCCTCTAACTGCAGCCTCAACCTCCTAGGCTCAAGCCATCGTCCTACCTCAGCCTCCCGAGTAGGTGGGACCATGGGGCGAGCCACCAAGCCCAGCTAGTTGTTTTTTTTTTTTTTTTTTTTTTTTTAAGAAACAAGGTTTCAGGCCGGGTTCGGTGGCTCATGCCTATAATCCCAGCACTTTGGGAGGCCGAGGCGGGTGGATCACGAGGTCAAGAGATTGAGACCATCCTGGTCAACAAGGTGAAACCCTGTCTCTACTAAAAACACAAAAATTAGCTGGGCATGGTGGTACGCGCCTGTAGTCCCAGCTACTCGGGAGGCTGAGGCAGGAGAATTGCTTGAACCGAGAAGGCAGAGGTTGCAGTGAGCCGAGATTGTGCCATTGCACTCCAGTCTGGGTAACAACAGCGAAACTCCATCTCAAAAAAAAAAAAAAGAAAGAAAGAAAGAAAAGAAACAGGTTTCACTATGTTTCCTAGGCTGGTAAACTCCTAGGGTCAAAGGATCCTCCTGAGTTTTTGTTTGTTTGTTTGTTGAGATGGAGTTTCGCTCTTGTTGCCCAGGCTAGAGTGCAATGGCTCGATCTCAGCTCACTGCAACTCAACCTCCTGGGTTCAAGCGATTCTCCTGCCTCAGCCTCCCAAGAGGCTGTGATTACAGGGGCCCGCCACCACAACTGGTTAATTTTGTCGTTTTAGTAGAGATAGTGTTTCTCCATGTTGGTCAGGCTGGTCTCAAAACCCCAACCTCAGATAATCCACTCACCTTGGCATCCCAAAGTGCTGGGATTGTAGGCATGAGCCATCGCACCTGGCTGGCAGTAGCCTCTCATTTTTTCCTCCCAAAATACTGCAATTACAAGGATGAGCCACCGTGCCTGGCCAACATAGTGCTTTTTTTTGTTTGCGTGTTTGTTTGAGGCGGAGTTTCACTCTTTTTGGCCAGACTGGAGTGCAGTGGTGCGATCTTGGCTAACCACAACCTCTACCTCCTGGGTTCAAGCAGTTCTCTTCCCTCAGCCTCCTGAGTAGCTGGGATTATAGACAAGCGATACCACACCTAGCTATTTTTTTACTAGAAGGCTGAGGCAGGAGAATCGCTTGAACCCAGGAGGCAAAGGTTACAATGAGCCGAGATTGCACCACTGCACTCCAGCCTGGGCAACAAGAGCAAAACTCACCTCAGAAAAAGAATGGGGCAGGAAAGAAGAGGGGCATAAAGTAAGCAGAAACTCAGCAGGAAATGCAGAAGGAAAAAGAGAGTGTAGGGCTGAGGGCCCCACAGGGTCGTGGGGTGAGCCTCGTGCTGTGCTGAGGCGCAGGATCCAAGAAATAAAGAGACAGGACACAGAAGTACAAAGAAAACGCAGCTGGGCTTGGGGGGGCCACGCCACCTATAAGCGGAGTCAGGTGAGGCCCCGAATGTCCAGAAGCGTGAGTATTTATTGTGTTTAGGTTAGGGGGCAGGGCAGTGAGTGAAATCATCTTTAAGGATAGTGATAGGGTCGTGAGCAATAAAACATGGGGTCCACCCCATTAGGTCACCTAGGCCAGGAGGGGGACAAGTACACAGCAAGGGACACGTTCCCACGAAGGCAAAGGCCGTGTGCAGTAAGAGGTCCACCCCCATTAGGTCACCGAGGCTTGAATGTGGGCCGTGCACAGTGAAGAGGATGCAGTGTGCAATACTTCTATCTATGGGAAACTACTTCTAAGAAGATTTATAGGTGGATGCTTTAAGTCACATAGCAGTGACAGAGCTGTCAAGGTTACCGCCACCTGCTGGCAGCTTCCAGTGGATTCTATGGGAAGATACTTTTCAAGCAGCAGGGTAGCAAGAGCTGATAAGTTCACAGTCACCAAGGTGGATTGCCGGTCTGAGGGCAGCCTTCCACAAGAAGTGGAGCAAGGTCCTACAACTCCTTCATCAGGAGGAGTGGCTCTCGCCCCAAGCCTGCCATACAGCGGGTATCCTTACGATACTGAACGCTCCTGCCTGGGCCATGGATTCTTGTCCTGGCATAACTATTTTCCCTTAAATCATGCTCTGCACTGCGTCTGCTCTAGGCATTCCTCCGATTATAAGCTGCTTATTCCTTAATTCATGCTCTGTACTGTGTCCACTCTAGGCATTCCTCTGATTATGAACTAAGATATAATTATAGGTATATATGTAGGGAAATATTCTTTAGACACTCATACTATCAACTATTATATGATTATATAGAGAGGATTAGATAAAGGTATTCTTCAAGCCCTAATTCTATAAACTAATATATTATTATGTAAAGGATTATTATTTTGTGTTTTTTTTGTTTTTTTTTGAGACGGAGTTTGGCTCTTGTTACCCAGGCTGGAGTGCAATGGCGCGATCTCGGTTCACCGCAACCTCCGCCTCCTGCATTCAGGCAATTCTCCTGCCTCAGCCTCCTGAGTAGCTGGGATTACAGGTGCACACCACCATGCCCAGCTAATTTTTTGCATTTTTGGTAGAGACGGGGTTTCACCTTGTTGACCAGGATGGTCTTGATCTCTTGATCTCGTGATCCACCTGCCTCAGCCTCCCAAACTGCTGGGATTATAGGCGTGAGCCACTGCGCCTGGCCTGTTTTTATTTTTTAAGACAGAGCCTTACTCTGTCACCCAGGCTCGAGTGCAGTGGTGCAATCTCAGCTTACTGCAGCCTCCACCTCCCAGGTTCAAGCAGTTCTCTGCCTCATCCTCCTGAGTACCTCGGATTACAGGCACTTACCACCATGCCTGGCTAAGTTTTTTTTTTTTTTTTGAGACGAAGTTTCGCTTTTGTTACGCAGGCTGGAGGGCAATGGCGCGATCTTGGCTCACCGCAACCTCCGCCTTCTAGGTTCAATTGATTCTCCTGCCTCAGCTTCCTGAGTAGTTGGAATTACAGGCATGCGCCACCATGCCCAGCTAATTTTTGTATTTTTAGTAGAGACAGGGTTTCACCGTGTTGACCAGGATGGCCTCGATCTCTTGACTTCGTGATCCACCTGCCTCGGCCTCTTAAAGTGCTGGGATTACAGGCTTGAGCCACCGTGCCTGGCCTTGTTTTGTATTTTTAGTAGAGATGGGGTTTCATTGTCTTGGCCAGGCTGGCCTTGAACTCCTGACCTTGTGATCCACTCACCTCCACCTCCCAAAATGCTGGGATTACAGGTGTGAGCCACCACATCTAGACAGGGACTTTCTTATCTCTGCGTGATCTCTGGTGCAGCGGGCAGCAGAGGCCTGTCTTTCTACAGGGTGAGGTCTCTCCTGTATGTGTTTTTCTCACAGGAAGGGAGTGAGTGGTTTCTAACATTAAGTCTTAAATTCTTTTCACGTACAGGGTTGATTTCTAAAGACTCATGTGAGGAAGCAGCTCAGAAGAGGAAAGAAAAGGAGCCGGGCATGGCTCTTCCTCAGGTAAAGTGACACTCCTCGGTGGATTCATCTGTCTCTTCCCTTTCTGCAATGCCAGGTATTGTAGTAGCCAGTCTGTTCTGAGTCTGAAGCGTCCTGCCTGACATGTTGGCTCGCACTCACCCGTGCCTTCCTCAGTTCCTGTCATCTGCTCTGAGATTCCATCTCCTGTGACCCAGTGACATGAACTCAGGAAGAAACTCCACTGGGCTTGGTCATGGGAAGGGCTGACATCCAGACCTGGATGGACACGGGGTGTGGGCCCTGCGGTGTCAGTGCTGCTGGGAAGGTTGGATTATTTTGGGCCACAGATGTATGTTAGCTCTTTGTGGATGAGATCTTAGAAACCACATATGAAACACATAGGACCAGGTGCGGTGGCTCACGCCTATAATCCCAGCACCTTGGGAGGCCAAGGCAGGTGGATCACGAGGTCAAGACATCGAGACCATCCTGGTCAACATGGTGAAACCCCGTCTCTAATAAAAATACAAAAATTAGCTGGGCATGGTGGCGCACGCCTGTAGTCCCAGCTAACTGGGAGGCTGAGGCAGGAGAATTGCTTGAACCCAGGAGGCGGAGGTTGTGGTGAGCCAAGATCATGCCATTGCACTTCAGTCTGGGTAACAAGAGCGAAACTCCGTCTCAAAAAAAAAAAAAAAAAAAAAAGAAACACATAGGTTAATGTGCACAGATACCTGGTAAATTCTGGAAAAGGAGACCAATAAGGGGAGCTATTTTGTAACTGATTTGGGAATGCAGTGGAAGCCACACTAGTAGATCAACACGTCTCTGACTCCAAACTTCTTTTCTTAAGAGACATGTTTTTGGTCTGGGTATGGTGGCTGATGCCTGCAGTCCCAGCACATTGGGAGGCCGAGGCGGATGCATCACTAAAGCTCAGGAGTTCGAAAGCAGCCAACATGCTGAAACCTCATCTCTACTAAAAATTCAACAATTAGCTGAGTGTGGTGGCACACGGTGGTAATCTCAGCTACTCAGGAGGCTGACATAGGAGAATCACTTGAACCCAGAAGGTGGAGGTTGCAATAACCTGAGATTGTGCCACTGTACTCCCGCCTGGGTGACAGACAGAGACTCTGTCTTAATAATAAATAGAAAAAGGGTCAGCAGGGTGGCTCAAGCCTGTAATCCCAGCACTTTGGGAGGTCAAGGCAGCCAAATCATGACCTCAGGAGTTCCAGATCATCCTGGCTGGCAGAGTGAAACGCCATCTCTACTAAAAATAAAAAAAAAATTAGGCTGGGTGCGGTGGCTCACACCTATAATCCCAGCACTTTGGGAGGCCAAGATGGGTGGATCACAAGGTCAAGAGATCGAGACCATCCTGGTCAACATGGTGAAACCCCGTCTCTACTAAAAATACAAAAAATTAGCTGGGCATGGTGGCGCGTGCCTGTAATCAGGAGGCAGGGGAATCAATTGAACCCAGGAGGTGGAGGCTGTGGAGAGCCCAGATCGTACCATTGCACTCCAGCCTGGGCAACAGAGCTACACTCCATCTCAAAAAAAGAGAGAGAGATTGAGAGAGAGAGAGAGAGAGAGAGAGAGAGAGAGAAGGTGTTTCCCCGTGACCCAGGACTGGAGTACAATGGCGCAATTCTAGTTTACAGCAGCCTCGAACTCCTGGTTCAAGTCCTCTACGCTTTACCCTCCCAAAGAGCTAGAATGATAGGCCTGTGTTGAAACATGCAGCCGCTAATTCTTTCTTTCTTTTTTTAGACAGTCTTGCTCTGTCACCCAGGCTGGAGTGCAATGGTGCGATGTCAGCTCACTGCAACCTCCACCTCCTGGGTTCAAGCGATTCTTCTGCCTCAGTCTTCTAAGTAGCAGGGATTACAGGTGCCTGACACCACAGCCCACTAATTTTTGTATTTTTAGTAGAGACAGGGTTTCACCATGTTGGCAAGGCTGGTCTCGATCTTCTAACGTCGTGATCTGCCCGCCTCTTCCTCCCAAAGTGCTGGGATTAGAGGCAGGAGCCACCATGCCAGGCTGGTTTCAAACTCTTAACCTCAAGTGATCCGCCCACCTTGGCCTCCCAATGTGTTGGGATCATAGGCGTGAGCCACCCTGCCTGGCCATGTGTTTTCTTTTCGTTTGTGTATTTTTTATATTGACCATAAAACCAAGACTTCTACAGTGACTTTGGGATCTTAAAATCTTTCGTGGGTAAGTACAGTAAAATGCAGCAATAGAGAAGAAATGTTCAAAAATACCTTAAGGTGGGTTTGTCAGAACAGTCTGTGATGAAACGGATACTTACTTTCTCTTTTCTCACTTAGTGTGAAGGTGGAAACTCAGTCCTCCATAATGTTTTGTTGAAATGTGTTTTTCATTTTAGGGATGCTTGACTTTCAGGGATGTGGCTGTAGAATTCTCTTTGGCGGAGTGGAAATGCCTGACCCCTGCTCAGAGGGCTTTATACAGGGACGTGATGTTGGAGAACTACAGGAACCTGGAGTCTGTGGGTGAGGAAAACGTCCCTCCAGACACGAGGAATCTGCCCTTGTCTATCTTGACTCTTCCTGGGTTTATATTTCTTTCTTTTTTTTTTTTTTTTTTTTGAGGCGGAGTTTTGCTCTTGTTACTCAGGCTGGCAATGGCGCGATCTTGGCTCACTGCAACCTCCGCCTTCTGGGTTCAAGCAATTCGCCTGCCTCAGCCTCCTGAGTAGCTGGGATTACAGGCGCGCACCACCATGCCCAGCTAATTTTTGTATTTTTAGTAGAGACGGGGTTTCACCTTGTTGACCAGGATGGTCTTGATCTCTTGACCTCGTGATCCACCTGTCTCAGCCTCCCAAAGTGCTGGGATTATAGGTGTGAACTACCACGCCTGGCCGGTTCTATATTTCTTTTTGTGATTTTGCCCCATACATTATGCTTTTTTGTTTGTTTGTTTTTGAGACAGTGTCACTCTTGTCCAGGGTAGAGTGCAGTGGTGGGATCTCACCTCACCGCAGCCTTTGCCTCCTGGGTTCAAGCTATTCTCCTGCCTCAGCCTCCCAAGTAGCTGAGATTACAAGCCTGCGCCACCATGCCCAGCTAATTTTGTATTTTCAGTAGAGACGAGGTTTCTCCATGTTGGTCAGGCTGGTCTCGAACTCCTGACCTCAGTTGATCCACCTGCCTTGGCCTCCCAAACTGCTGGGATTACAAACAAGAGACACCATGCTCTGTATATGCTTTACATATGCTTGGCCTCTGTATATGCTTTACATGTACAGCCTGCCAGATTGCTGGGATTACAGGCATGAGCCACTGTCTGCAGTCTTCCATGGACTCTTTAGTGATTTCCAAATATCAGATGATGTCTTCTGTGAACACAGAGCATTTAACTTTTTTTTCCCACTCCTTGGCATTTATTACTTTTTCTTGTGTCTAATTTCGTCAGTCAGGATTCCAGTAACATGCTGAGTAGAAATAGCAAAAGCAGGCTTATTAGTCTCTTTCCTGATCTTAGAGGAAGAGATTTCAGGCTTTCGCCATCCACTGTGATGGTAACTGTGGGCTTCTCCTAAATGGTCTTTATTATGTTGAGGTGGGTTTCTTGTATTCTGTGTGTATTGAGTGTTTTTATTTCAAAATAATGTTGTTGCTGGGCGCAGTGGCTTATGCCTGTAATCCCAGCACTTTGGGAGGCCGAGGCAGGTGGATTGCTTGAGGTCATGAGTTCGAGACCAGCCTGGTCAACATGGTGAAAAACAATAATATGTCTATTAAAAAACAATAATAATAATAATGTTGTCTTTTTGATTTTCAGTAGTTTGTTTATAATGTGTTACTTCGATGATGTGCTGGGGTTCATTCAGAAAGTGGTGATCTTAGCATGTATTTCAGGGTTTGTTTTTTTTTAGGCAGAGTCTCTCTCCGTCGCCAGGCACCAGGCTGGAGTGCAGTGGCGCGATCTCGGCTCACTGCAACCTCCGCCTCCTGGGTTCAAGCACTTCTCCTGTCTCAGCCTCCAGAGTAGCTGGGACAACAGGCGCGCACCACCACGCCCAGCTAATTTTTGTATTTTTAGTGGAGACGGGGTTTCACTATGTTGACCAGGATGGTCTCGATCTCTTGACCTTATAATCCACCCGCCTCGGCCTCCCAAAGTGCTGGGATTACAGGCTTGAGCCACCACGTCCGGCTTCTTTTTTTTTTTTTGGAGATGGAGTTTCGCTGCTGTTACCCAGACTGGAGTGCAATGGCATGATCTCGGCTCACCGCAACCTCCGCCTCCTGGGTTCAAGCAATTCTCCTGCCTCAGCCTCCCAAGAAGCTGGGACTACAGGCGCGCACCACCATGCCCAGCTAATTTTTTTGTATTTTTAGTAGAGACAGGGTTTCACCTTGTTGATTAGGATGGTCTCGATCTCTTGACCTTGTGATCCACCTGCCTCGGCCTCCCAAAGTGCTGGGATTATAGGCGTGAGCCACTGCGCCCAGCTTTTTTTTTTTTAAGATGATCTTTTGCTTTTGTTGCCCAGGCTGGAGTGTAATGGCGCAATCTCAGCTCACCACAACTTCTTCCTCCCATGTTCAAGAAATCCTCCTGCCTCAGCCTGCTGAGTAGCTGAGATTGCAGGCATGTGCCACCATGCCCAGCTAATTTTGTATTTTTAGTAGAGACGGTGTTTCTCCATGTTGGTCAGGCTGGTCTCAAACTCCCAACCTCAGGTGATCCGCTGACCTCAGCCTCCCAAAGTGCTGGGATTACAAGTATGAGCCACTATGCCAAGCTTAAATTTTGTACTTTCAATAGAGATGGGGTTTTGCTTTTTGGCCAGGCTGGTCTTGAATTCCTGACATTATGACCTACCTGCCTCAGCCTCCCAAAGTGCTAGAATAACAGGCATGAGGCACCGCGCCTGGCCAACTAATTTTTCTGATTTTACATATGGATTTTTGGTATGTGATCTGCAATATGTCTGACACCCTCCTCTCTGTAATGTCACAAAGTACCTCAAGGCACCGGGGGTTATGACTGTAATCCCAAGACTTTGGGAGGCCGAGGCAGGTGGATCAGCAGAAGTGAGGAGTTTGAGACCAGCCTGGCCACCATGGTGAAACCTTATCTCTACTAAAAATACAAAAATTAGCCAGGCATGGTGGCGCGGGCCTGTAATCTCAGCTACTAAGGAGGCTGAGGCAGATGAATCACTTGAACCCAGGAGGCAGAGGTTGTAGTGAGCAGAGAGGTCTCATCATTGCACTCCAGCCTTGGTGACAGAACGAGACATTGTCTGAAAAAAATAAAAATATCAAAAAGAATTTTCTTTAAAAAATCACAAAGTACCTATTCTTCCTGGATATATATACTTTTATGACATATATAGAAAAATATTGTGTTAGTATTTTCTTTTTTTTGAGACTGAGTTTTGCTCTTGTTCCCCAGGCTGGAGTGCAATGGCGCGATCTCACCGCAACCTCCGCCTCCTGGGTTCAGGCAATTCTCCTGCCTCAGCCTCCTGAGTAGCTGGGATTACAGGCACACACCGCCATGCCCAGCTAATTTTTTGTATTTTTAGTAGAGATGGGGTGTCACCAGGTTGACCAGGATGGTCTCGATCTCTTGACCTCGTGATCCACCCTCCTTGGCCTCCCAAAGTGCTGGGATTACAGGCTTGAGCCACCGCACCTGGCCACGTTTCAGTATTATTTACCATCTGTCCTCAATTGCAAACTTACTGGTGTTTATATTTTGTAGATATCTCTTTCAAATGCATGATGAAGAAGTTCTCATTAACAGCACAGGGCACTACAGAAATGCTCCACACAGGGACATTGGAAACGCATGAGAGTCATCACACTGGACACTTTTGCTTCCAGGAAATTGAGAAAGATACTCATGACTTTGAGTTCCAGTGGGAAGAAGAGGAAAGAAGTAGCCATGAAACTCCCGTGACAAAAATCAAAAAGTTGACTAGTAGTACAGAGCGATGCGATCAAAGGCAGGCTGGAAACAAGCCTGTTAAAGGTGAGCTTGGATTGAGCTTTCATTCCCATCTCCCTGAACTGCACGTATTCCAGACTGAAGGGAAAGTTGACAATCAAGTGGAGGAGTCTCTTAACGATGCTTCCTCAGTTTCAACATCCCAAAGAATGTATTGTAGGCCCCAAACCCTTATTTCGAATAAGTATGAAAATAATTTCCTCTATGCTTCACTACTCACACAACAACAGGAAGTACATATGAGAGAAAAGTCTTTCCCATGTAATGAGAATGGCAAAGCCCTTCATTGTAGCTCACTCTTAAGGAAACATGAGACAATCCATTTAGGAGAGAAACAATATGAATGTGATGTATGTGGAAAGGCCTTTAATCAGAAGCGATACCTCGGACGCCATGGTAGGTGTCACACTGGTGAGAAACCTTACCAGTGTCATGAGTGTGGCGTGAACTTCACTCAGCAGTCAATCCTCACACGCCATAGTAGACTTCATACTGGAGAGAAACCTTCCAAGTGTAATAAATGCAGCAAGACCTTTGGTCGAAATTCAGCACTTGTGATTCCTAAGGCAGTTCATACAGGACAGAAACCTTACAAGTGTAATGAATGTGGCAAGGTTTTTAATCAACCATCAAACCTTGCAAGTCATCATAGACTTCATGCTGGAGAGAAACCTTACAAATGTGGAGACTGTAACAAAGCTTTTACTCGGAAATCAGACCTTAAAAGACATAGGAAAATTCATGGAGAAAAAGCATACAAATGTGAGGTCTGTGACAAGGCTTTCAGGCGTCATTCACACCTGTCACAACATACTAGAACCCACACTAGGGAGAAACCTTACAAGTGTAATGAATGTGGCAAGTTTTTTAATCAGCAATCAAACCTTTCAAGTCATCATAGAGTTCATACTGGAGAAAAACCTTACAAATGTGAAGAATGTGACAAAGTTTTCAGATGGAAATCAGACCTTGGAAGACATAGAAGAATTCATACCGGAGAGTCACCATACAAATGTAAGGTGTGTGACAAGGCTTTCAGGCGTGGTTCACACCTGGCACAGCATACTAGAATCCACACTGGAGAGAAACCTTACAAGTGTAATGAATGTGGCAAAACCTTCAGTCAGATGTCGTCGCTTGTATTCCATCGTAGACTTCATACTGGAAAGAAACCTTAGACGTATATGCTGCAATAGTCAGGTAAAAATAAATAAAAATAAAAGAAACAAAACATTTAAAAAGTGTAAGGAGTGTGGCAAAGTTTTTAATAAAAAATCCAACCTTGGCTGGGTGTGGTGGCTCAAGCCTGTAATCCCAGCACTTTCGGAGGCCGAGCGGGTGGATCTCAAGGTCAAAAGATCGAGACCATCCTGGTCAACATGGTGAAACCCCGTCTCTACTAAAAATACAAAAATTAACTGGGCATGTTGGTGCGTGCCTATAATCCCAGCTACCCAGGAGGCTGAGGCAGGAGAATTGCCTGAACCCAGGAGGCAGAGGTTGCGGTGAGCCGAGATCGCGCCATTGCACTCCAGCCTGGGTAACAACAGCGAAACTCCATCTCGAAAAAGAAAGAAAGTTTTAAGCTTTTAACCAGTCTGGTTTCATTTAAATTGTGAGGTCCATCTCCAGCCAATAGAGGCAGTGATAGAAGCACAATGCATTAGGATAAAAGGCCCTCCTCTCCTTGTTCAGTGTGCTCCCCTGGCAATTAGGTTTAGAGGCAGCACCTTTCTACACAGGTAAAATTGCCTTGCTGAGAACTTCTTGGAGTGATTGTTTCCTTTGAGACTTCATACTTTTTCTACTAACAAACCTTAACATCTCTATTTTGAAACACTGATCCCACTCATTTGGAGTTCATGTTTCCAGGTGGCTATCTTCAAGCCTCATGTTCACACAAACTCTATACTTAATTATTGGTTCTAAACTTTATTATTTACTTCTAACATCAGTTTCTGTAAGAATGTAGGAGTCTTACCAGAGAGGGCACCTATTTCCATGTTGTGAAACTCACATTTCTCAAAAAGAAAAAAATTGGTTTGGATTTTTCCCTTTTCCTCTGGATGAAGCCAATGGGCTGACACAGACGGTCACCTCCATTACCAAGTAGAGCCAGGATGAACATGTGTGACCAAGGGTGTTAAGTCCTCTTACCTGAGGACTGATTAGTGTTTATCTGCATAACATGTACTTAATGGGTTGTGTAGAACAGTGAAGTTCCTTTCCCTCTTTTCAGTCTCTTAACTGTTTGCCTCTATTACCCATCACATTATGGTCTAAGGCTTATCTATTAGTAAAATGTTTTTTTTATTATATCTATTGTTGCGGAGATGATTTCTCATTTTGGGGAAGATATTTTTGTTTTCAATTATATTGTCTCAACATTCAAAAAGTGAAGTAAAGAGTATTTCTTGGATCAGGCGTGGTGGCTCACGCCTGTAATCCCAGCACTTTACGAGTCTGACCAGGCAGATCACTTGAAGTCAGGAATTCTAGACCAGCTGGGCCAACGTGGTGAAACCTCGTCTTTACCAAAAGTACAAAAATTAGGCATGGTGGTACGCGCCTGTAATGCCAGCTACTCCAAAAGCTGAGGTAGGAAAATGGCCTCAAGCAGGGAGGCAGAGGTTACAGTGAGCCAAGATCGTGCCATTTCACTGCAGCCTGGGCAACAGAGTGAGACTCCACCTCAGAAAAATAGAAAAGAAAAAAGTAAATTAAAAAAAAAAAAGATTTGTTTACACAGGTAAGAAAGAAAAAAAGAAGTAAAAGATCTCTTCCACAAAGTTGCTGAGACAACTGGATATCCACACGGAAAAGAATAATGTTGAATCCTTGTATCACACCATTAAACATTTTATTTTATTTTTATTTATTTATTTATTTTTTTGAGACGGAGTTTCGCTCTTGTTACCCAGGCTGGAGTGCAATGGCTCGATCTCGGCTCACTGCAACCTCCGCCTCCTGGGTTCAGGCAATTCTCCTGCCTCCGCCTCTTGAGTAGCTGGGACTACAGGCACGCGCCACCACGCCCAGCTAATTTTTTGTATTTTTAGTAGAGACGGGGTTTCACCATGTTGACCAGGTTGGTCTCGATCTCTCGACCTAGCGATCCACCCGTCTCGGCCCTCAAAGTGCTGGGATTACACGCTTGAGCCACCGCGCCCGGCCTAAACATTTTATTTTTAAAATTCAAAACATAATGAGAGAGAGAAGAGAAATAGAGTGAGGCGGAAAGGGATGTTACTGTGTCGCCCAGGTTTGTCTGGACACCCAGGCTGAGCGTTTCTCCTGAGTAGCTGAGTAGTTTCTCCTGGACATCTCAGGTTGAGCGATACTTCCTGAGTAGCTGAGACCTCCCGCCCTTGCTCCCGTATCCCCGCTGTGTTCAAGCAGCAGGTGGAGACCCCACTCCTCCCGGGTCTGAGCATTCCTCCTGCATCCAGGCGGTGGCGTTAGGGAAGTCTCTGAAGCTGAGCACAGGGTGGACTCTCCCTCTTGAGCGATTGGGGAATAGAAAGGGTGAGGATTTCTATTCTGTTCTGTGGGCTGTCAGCATGAACTTGTACCTTCCGCTTAGGCAGAGCTTTGCATTTCACATTGTAGTTTGCATCCCCGTTGCAGAGAATACCAGGGCTTTTGAATGATCGCTCGGGCTTCCTGGCAAATCTGGCCTCCCAAACTTGAAAAACGGAGGCGCTGAGAGCGAGGCTGCGAAACTCACAGGTGTCGGCCGGCCCCGCCCTCTCCCAGTTTTGAAGGACAAGTTCTCTCCTCCACGAGCCCCGCCCCTACCTCGACCGGGCCATGCCCATCTCTTGTTAGGGTCTCTAGGCCCCGCCCCTACCTCGCCCAGGCCCCGCCCAGCCCCCCTCGAGCCGCCCAAGCACCGCCCACATCCCTTCGGGGCCTCTCAGGTTCCGCCACTACATTACACAGGCCCCGCCCACCCCCCTCGGGCCGCCGAGGACCCGCCTACCTCCCTTCGGGGCCGCCCAGGCCCCGCCCCTACCTCACACAGGCCCTACCGGCCCCCGTCGAGCCGCCCAGGCCTGGCTTCCGTCCTGCGCACTCAGGTTCGTGCAAACTTGGAAGCGGATCCCGTGGAGGGAACGTCCCACCGTTTGCTCGTGAGTTTCACCCTGTCTTGAATTAAGTCTCCGTTTCCCAGGTCCCAGGCGCTTCTATACGTGGGTCGTCGGGTCCCCACAGACCTGGAAATTCTCGCCCATCTTTCTTCACCCGGAGGAAATTGGGACGTTTCCACGAGAGTCCCGGGGTCGCTTCCTTTTGGGTTTAAAGTCGCTCTCAGGCTGGTCCCGTCCCCAGTTTTTCCTGTTATACGGCACTGTATACATTTCCTATGGCGTAGTTCTGCTCAGAACCTTTTTCTGACTCCTCCCGCCCCGCGCTTTTTGAAGTCCTCCCCTGAGGACTGGATTCCCGTCCTGGGCGCCTCCCAGCCTCGCCTTCCTCGGCCCCGGTCCGGGGGAGGCCGCGTGCTCTGCCTGGTCCTGGGATCCTGCAGACCCCACCGTTTCCTGAGGCGCCGTCCCCACACCTCCCTCCTCGTGAGGGTGTTAAAACGCGCGCTTTGAATGAAGAGAGCCCCAGAACAGGCTTTGTGTGGGAAACATGGCTGTTTATTCACCTGGGGGCAGTTGGGCTAAAGCCGAAAAGGGCCTTAATGAAGAGCACTGGGATAGGAGTTGGTTTTACAGGTTGAGGCAAATCTTTTAGGGAGGGGACGGCGTCCTACGGAGTAAGATCAGTTACAGTGGTGGGGGAAGGGGCAAGGAATATACATTACTGTAAGTTCAGTTACAATGGCGGTGGAGTAAGGCGGAAGAGTAGTTAAGATGGCGGGGCGGGGTGAGGAGTAGTCACATTAACACAACAGTTACGATGACAGGGTAGGGTGAGCCATCTTAACGGGGGAAGCTCCGCTGGGCTATCAGGGATAATGGGGAACCCAGGAGGGTAATTGGGGGTGATCAGCCAAGGCAGGCAGGATTTCAGTGTGTACTTGGTTAAGATGTCAATGACCTTCTACCTTATCATCAAAACATAGTTTAACTAGTTAGTCTGTTTTTCAGTTTTCTTTTCTTAGGTCATTCATTAAAATCTCCAGCTGTGAGCTCTTAAGTTCATGTTTCCCTCAAGGCCCTCTGGTTCATTCTGGAGATATGTTGGAAGATTCTTTGTTGTTGTGGGAGAAAAATGTTTGAAGACTCGATCCCTGCCTGATCTGGGTTCCCAGGACCTCTCTGACCTCATCTCCTGCCTGTGTCCTCCTCGCTCCCTCTGCTCCAGCCACACAGGCCCCTTTCCTGTTCCTGGGGCCGAGGTTGCTCCTGCCTCAAGGCCCTCAGGTGGCCTGTGTCTCTGCTGGAACTCCGTGGCCCTGCAAGTGCAGGGGCAGGCACGCCTTTCTCCCTGGTGTCTGTTCTGATATCACCTCCCAGTGGGGACTTCTGTGACCCACCTCCCAATGAGCACTGCAGCCACACCCTCACCCCACCTCTGGCCCATATTGGCTGTTCTGCATGCTTCTTTTTTATTCTTCACCTTCCACCGCCTCGGTACTGGTGATCCAAGGCCCCAGGGGGAGAGCAGAGCCTAATCGGGGCTGCGCTGGGCTCGCCTCCTCCTCCTCTGAGTGGATCTCAACTGTGGCTTCACAGGAGAATGCTGGGGAATTTACACGATATCTTTTATGCTCCAGAGATTCTCCTTCACACACTCAGGGTAGGCCTGCGTTGTTTCTTTCTTTTCTGTTTTATTATTATTATTATTAACTTATTTTTTTGAGACGGAGTTTTGCTGTTGTTACCCAGACTGGAGTGCAATGGCGCGATCTGGGCTCACCGCAGCCTCAACCTCCCAAAGTGCTGGGATTACAGGCGTGAGCCACCACGCCCGGCCCTATTACTGTTTTTTCTGAGAGAAAGTTGCACTCTTGTTGCCCAGCCTGGAGTGCAATGCTGCAATCTCCACCTGTGGGATTCAAGTGATTCTTCTGCGTCAGCCTCCCAAATAGCTGGAATCACAGGCATGCACCACCATGCCCAGCTAATTTTGTCTTTTTAGTAGACATGGGGTTTTTCTATGTTGGTCAGCCTTGTCTGGAACTCCCGAGCTCAGGTGATCTGCCTTCCTTGGCCTCCCAAAGTGCTG